GTCTCTGCATATCAGGCCCCATTTATTAAAGTTTAAAGAACTTTAGATAAAAACTGTACCCTCTGAGATCCATCTAGTGATCAATAGAATGGCCCTGGGGGAGAGGAGTGGTGAACAAAGTGAAAATTTAACATAAACTATACCTGGATAAATCTAATTTAGCAGGTGGGGCAGAAAAGGCTGTTAAACAACACAGGCCAGATTATCTCAAATACTTTATTTGCTTCAAGGAAGGTTCATTCAAAATGGAGTACAGGAAAATTGAAAAGGCAATATATTGTTGCTATATCATGTTATTTCTTATGTCTCATAAAAATATCAAATTGGACTGAAAACTAATTATCTTGTTAACTGTCTACATTAAATCCTATTCAGTAGTGTCCCTTTCTCTTCTAAACTATATCCTCTGACTTCCCTTGTTTTATTAAAGTTACTAACTAATTTTGTTTTCAGTCCAATCAAGGCTTAATTAGCTTACTAGGTATATATATATTCATGAATAAATAATATATCTTTAAGACTTAAACATACATTTAAAAAAATATCAGCTGGTTAATATTATTCTAAGATCTTTTTCTACCTGGTCAGTCCTCTTATTCTTCAGAGTGCTATATATGGCTCTACCACTTGAAGATATCCTATACTTAAAAAAAAAAAGTTATGGTATTAATTCAACTTTTATCAACTCTGAGTGGACGAAAGAAAATCACAGCAAAATCAGCTTTTTAGGCAATTGAGGTGGTGAACTGACCATGGAATGTGGGAGAAACAGAGAAATCAAGGGTGCTGCCAAAGTGTTATCCCAAACTACTGGAAGACTGACATCGCTTACTGAGATGAATAAGTGTGTGAAAGGAGCAAACCTGAGGGAGAAAATTGGAAGTTTGGTTTTGACTATGTTAGGGTTAACTTTGCCTTTAGACATACAGTGGAGATGTTGAATAGGCAGTTTGCTAGACCCTCTGGAGATGAGATGAGAGGGCAGGACTGGAGCTGTCAGCATAGAAATGGTATTTAATACCCAAGACCTGATCAGTCCACCTGAGACCCAGTATATATCTAGAAGAGAACATCTGAGGGCTGAATCCTGGGCCACTCCTATATTTGGAGGTTGGGACATGAGAAAGAACCAACATCAGGGATGGAGAAGGAGCTTAAACCAAGAGAATGTGGGTCCAGGAAGCCAAGGAAAGAAGTGTTTCAAAGGTGGGAGTGATCAACAGTGTCAACTCGCCGACAGATGGTAGGTCAAGAAGGATGAAGACTATGAACTGACCATCGGATTGACAATAGGAAGGTCACTGATCTTAACAGAGTGGTGTAACTTCAGGGATGGTAAAGAAATCCTGAGCAATGGATTAAAAGAGAAGGTGAGGAGAATTGGAGACAGCAAGTATGGACAACTCTTTCAAGAATTTTTGCTACAAAGGAGACAGAAAAAGAAGATGAGAGCTATTACAGCATGTATGAATATGCATATGCTGTAAATGATCTAGTAGAGAGGAGAAAACTGATGATGCAAGAGACAGGGGGAACATTCCTTAAAACTGAAACTCAAACAAGGTATACTTGCTGTGATTCCACTGGAATAAAGTAATTACATTTGTCTGTATTTTTTCTTTTTCATATGCATGCATACTTTTTAAAGAATATTTTTAATGGAGCTATATAATAGAACCACTGAGAAGCAAATACTTGAAACTGTCTTTGCCTTTGCTTGCCTCCCTCACTTCCGCATTCCTCCCTTTAAAGATAGTGGACGTTCTTGTGGCCCTAAATTTTAGCTAAAAAAATTCGTGTTATGGGAATTGATGAAGCGTGCTTCTCCTCCAGTAGTATTTTGATTTACTGATATATTTTAGGACAAAATGATATGAGACATTTGCTTCAAAATAGTCTTGTTGGGGGAAGGAAATGAAATGCGTGGGGGAAGACATGAAAGAAGTTGGGCTTCAGTTGATAGTTGATGAAGCTGGGTGATGGGTCTGTGGTGATTCCTTACACCATTCTTTCTTCTTCTCTGTGTGTTTGAAAATGTCCGTAATATAAAGTTAAAAATTAGAAGAAACATAGTGTCAATACCATGCTTAATCCAAAGAAATCCATTAAATGGTGAAATTTTTGATAATTTGGTAACAGGTGAAAGAACTGTTCAGGGGCACAGGAATTTTTATGTCATTTTTCAAATCATATCACCTACTTTGCTGGTATGATTTGAAAATATACAGCACAAACATAGCCTTTTCATATACAGTACAAGCTTTTTTATTGGAAAGTATCTCAGTTGCTTTAAGATAGAATTAATTTGGATGCTTATTGTGCAAATAATTTGGAAAACTGGATTTTTAAAAATGAAGTGTTGGTTCTCTTAAATATCCTCTCACTTTAGGTAAGCATAAAGAATTCTGAAACTTATTCTATAAAACATGTTCTGAGGTAATATACTACACTTATAAAACAATGCTAATCCAGTTGATTGTTATGTAAAAGAATAAATAGTTGATTATGCACAGAAGGTGAAATTTCAGCGCAATAGTTACCACTTTCCAAAAAGAAATAGTAGTTTCTGAAATTTGTCACTCTTATATTGCTATGTAAAAATTTAGGTTAAAAAGATGTTTAGCCTTTCAAAACTAGCAAATGTAGAAACAGCAGTGTTAATACATTAGCTCTTCAAATATTAACCATAAGGTATTCTCTAGTGTTTTCCAGTTACTCATTAACCATTTTATAGTGTTATTGTTTCTCTGATTGTCGGTAATTTCCACCAAGGAAAGTTGAAAAACAAACTCCAATAATTTTTTTTCTAGATCAGAATAATGTTCAGATTTTATTAATAACATCCCCCTTTCTCACTATATATTCATTATTAAAAGTCCACTATGTATTTGGGACCTGTAAATTCTACTTCAAAAATTAAACCCAAAGTTGTGCCGTTTATGGTTTCTTTTGTATGGCTTTATTGCCCTCAACATTTCCTTGGTGTAAACTACTGAGCAAGGGAACAAGATTTCCTTTGTAAGTGATACCTAAATTCGTATTCTGCTTTAAGCATCTAATTTGTACTGTGAAGACATATAATTTGAGACTTGTAGCTATATCACAAAAGTACAACAGTTTACGCTGATCTCTAATTTTCTGAGTTGTACTGGCTATAATTTAAATTTTTTGCATGTTTTTAACTGCAGTGCAAACCAGTATACATCAGAAATCTTTGTATATTGACAGAGACTAGGAAAAGGATGCCTTGTTCTGATTTCAGATAAGCATTCCCTTTTCACAACTGCAGGTGCAAGAGAGCTCATTCATAATATTTGCTTCAAATCAGCTACAGTCACTGGATGGAAATACAATGCTATTACACGAGAACTTGACTAATCTTTACAAACACAATGAATATGTTTTAAAAATTCACAATTACGAGCAAAATCTGGGGGCAAGTAGCACTTTTTCTTTTGCCTAAGTATTGGGAACAAAATATACTCTGTTGACACGAGTTTTGGTCATCTTACTAGTGTATATGCGTATGTATGTATTTACTAAATCCAGAAAAATACTTTGTCACTTATTGACACAGGATGGAGTTATGCTCAGTGGTGTCACTTAACCGATAATTGATAATGTTACTTTTTCCTTTGCCTTAAGTTTCACTTATTTTGAAATCAACTTATAAGCCAAAAAAGAGCCACAAGATAAAAATTAACTCTAACTGCTCTCATTTCACACAGTTGGATAAATCTTCTTTGGAAACAAATATTAGACAGCTGTGTATGCAACCAATAAGTGAAGCTAGCATGTTTCCATTATAAACCCTTATTTTAAGGTTATGACTTGATGGTTTTAATTAGGTTCAGGCAGAAATTTGGCTCATCAATTCAAAGCATAGGAGAACATTTTAGTATACAGAACAATTACAACTCTCCTTCAACAGGAGAGGCCAGAGAAAGGCTCTAGTAGAATTTAAGTCTCAATGACCAAACACAGATAAAGTAAACATGTTCCAAAAAGTATGGCAATAATCATTGCATTGGCAAAAATAAATATTTGGCCTACATTTAATACCAATAAGAACTCATCCTAAATTCATGATTATTATTATCACTTACTTTATGTCTTACTGTTTGCTAACAATCCAGTACTGCCACCTTAAATTTGCATCTAATTCACAAGTGCCAAAGCACCTTTTCATACACTATTTGACTTGAGCTTCTCTTTGTGATTTGTAAAATGAGGGGACAATATCCTATATAAAGAAGTATCCTCTCCAAATCAGGTAGTTCTGACAAAAGTGGCTTGCCTGGACTGAAAGTTGTCAATCCTGCTCTCGGGTTCTGTCTCAGGGTCTCGGTCTCAAGGATTGATCTCACTGAGGGATCAGTTAGCTAGGAATTGTTTCTTGAGCTGAAAAAACAGTGACTTAAAGCAAGAATATTCTTCATATATGTTTAAGTCATTCAAGCTGAGCACTATGGTAGAGGAAACTTGTGAGCAGCTATCCTTTTCTTTCATGGACTCAAAAACAGAACGCTCACTCTCATTATACCAATTTGTCCTCAGGCTTGAATCAAATGCAAGCTAGGGGTTAGTGGACCCACATACTAGAAAGATGGGGAGCATCTTCAAGGATGCCTTCAAGGAGGATGCCTTCAAGGAGGATGCCTTCAAGGAGGATGCCTTCAAGGACGGGGCAGAACCCCTAAACGGGCTTCTGTAAATACGGCCCACCACCCTCCCAAACTTCCATGCTATTACTGCCTCCCTCAGCAACACACAGGGTCTCCTCAGGTAATCAGTTATTGCTGTCCCTCTAGGGAGGAAACGCTTGACACCTGGCCTCCCTCGGGCCACCTGCAATGGAGAACGGCGCCACACACCCACCCTTCTGAAGTTTTCTGCAGATGGAGGCTGTCACCGGGCCGCTTACCTGGCCGGGATGCTCTTCGTGACAGCCCAAGACCTTTGAGGAAGGGAAGAAAACAAAAGAAAACAAAACAACTTACCACTTTGGCCCAGTCCAAGAACAACTGAAAACACCCAGGCCGCCCGGAGGAATGGGGCAGGACCTGGCCTGCAGTTTTGCAGGCAGACTAATGTGGCAGTAAAAAAAGCCAGGGCCGAGCGGCACATAATGCAAAGCAGCCCGCACTGCACCGCGCCCGCCGCCTGGCTGCTAACCGGATGCGCGCTCGCGCTCCCGGGCGCGAAGTGCCAAGTGTTGCTAGGATGTTTCCAGCAGGCCCGGCAGGCGGACCCCGCGGCTCGGAGCAAACGATGCAGGTACGGCGGCCTGGGCACAGCTCGGCATTTCAGGGCCCCCGCGGCCCTCCCAGCTCCGCACGGCCGGTCCCGCGATCTCCGCGAGAAGCGCCTCCTCTGACGGGCAAAGGCCCGGGGCGGCGACGCGAGCAAAGGCTCCGCAGCCTGCTCTGGGACAAAGAAAAGAGCTTTTGTCTCTCTCCAGCCGATGGGGCTTCTGCTGCATAAATCAGCTTAGCGAAGAGCCAAACACAATCAAACCCAAACAAAGCCCGAAGCTGGGGGGAAAAACCAGCCTAATGTACATTCAGTGGGTGATGCTGCCTCTGTGGGAGGGGACGCTGGCGAGGCCGAAGGGGAAAAAGTCGATGGCGCATCAATGAGGTCGAGCTTCTTCCACAGGTGGGCAGGGAAGCCAACTTCACTTAATTGCAACTTTGCAGCCTCGTCAGCTGAGCAGCGAGCAAAGTCGAAGAGGCAGCGTCCTGGTTGGCGAGGGAGGAAGCTTGATGTGCCAGCAGCAGGGGGAGGCGGCCCCGGAGCGCCCTAGAAGCCCCCGCCGGCGCCCGCGGACACCGAGTGAGGCATCGCAGCTCCCTGCTTGACCAGGAGTGGAGCGCACGGCCGCGAGCGCAGAAGGAGAGGTCCCCCAGGGGTGCAGGAGCCTGGCTTCACGGGGGCGAGTGCTTCGTGCCCTCGTCCTTTTGGCTCCAGTGTGCTGCTCAGGCGTCCCGCCGTCCAGAGCCGGGACAGCTGTCGCGCTCTGGGATGCACCCCGGAGAGGATGAGAAGGAGGCGAGGCTGGCGAGGGGCGGGGGAGGAATGGTCCTGCCCCAGCCCCGCTGGGGTGGGGAGGGAGGGTTGGGGCTCCCAAAGTGCGGCTAGCTAGGCGCGTTCGGGCTGCGAGTTGCTAGGAAACCGCCCCACGCTACAGAGTTCCTTGCCGCGGAGGCTCGGGCTGCAGCAACAGCTCGGAGCAGCGTGGGCGGGACATTGGTGAGGCATGAAGTCACCGCGGCCCACACTCGCTCTTTGTTTTGCTCACTCCAGCTCTTTTTCCTCCCCTTGGCTCTGAGAGTTGCCATTCCCATCGTTCACAAGAACTCCTGATGCGTAGCCGCGCAGCAGGAATCTCACACCGTGTTCTCTTTCCCCCTCCTCTCCGAATCCCTACATCCCAACGCTCGCCTAGGTGGCGCGGAGACTAGCTCAGCAAGACTGGCAGCTGTGCGCAAACCCCAGCCTCTGACCCCGAAGCTGCGCGTTCCTTTGTTGGGAGATACTCACTGCTCGGCAGCTGCCACAGACTACGTGGAGTCCAGGCACCTTTCCCCGCCCCCCAACACCCTCTGTTTCGCTGGTGAGCACTGCCCACTTTGCTGGCAGAGTTCGGAGCTCACCCTTTGCCCCACCCCGAGACCGTTCGTCGTATCCCCAACCCTTGGAGAGTTGGGCCGGTCCGCAGGGGCTGTACCCGGAGTTGCAGCTGAAATTTCTCACGGCTCCTTCTCCACTCCGAGCCTCAGCCCTGAGGTGGACAGCCCTGCTCTTCCCAGGGTCTGGTGGTGGCTCTGGGCTTTTGCCAGTCACGGTGGATCTTTTGACCTTAAGCGTCACCTTCCAAATAAACGGAACAAAGCAGTTACAAAGGGCGGCGGAGCAGAAGAGTGAGACTAAAGAGAGGAGGTGGGAGGGCCGTTCTGCCTGTTGGCAGCTCAGAAATATCGGTTTAAGCCTGGAGCGGGTGTTAAGCCCGGCAACTGTCGGGGAAGCCGCGCGCCTTCTTGGGTCCCATTCCTACGACGTTACGTCGAGGGAGGGAACCCAATCCCCCGGATTGAAAACAAGGCGCTGTTTCCAATCTGAGACACAGGCTGATGGTTCTCTTTTTCCTCTAGGGGCAGGAGAGGTTCCCCGTGGTAAAGTCTGACCTCTCATTTTTCCACTAGCAGCCTGCCCGATCTCTTTCATAGAGCACCGCCTCTTACAGGCATCAGAGCATTCCAGCCAGGTCAAGGTGAAATATGCGGGAGTTTCCCTCCTTCTTATTTGTTTAATAGTTTCCATCTCCATATTTGGAGTAAAAAAACAAGTAGGAGGCTTTCTCGCTCTTTTTTTTTCTTTCTTTCTGTTTTCTAATTGTTAACTGAGTGAATGGAAAGTACCTGGTTAATAAACCACGACATTAAAAACTCCCCCTTTTCAGGTGTGGACTGCACGTTGGGGCCCACAGGATTAGCTAAGCAAACCAGGAACGCAGGTGGAAAATTACAAGTGCCCTGGATCTACAAAGCAGGTCCTTTTGAGAGACCAAATGAATGACCCAAACCTGAAAAAACTGATGCTTGTAAACATAATTCCACTCTTGGCAATGTACTCTACATAGAATTAAATCCAGCCCAGCTTCATTTTTTATTTTCTTTCCTTAGTTCCAAGTTTGAACAGCTATAGTTTTGCTTTCGGTGGCCTTAAAGGAAGGATCCTGAAAAATGGCTGGAGTGGGGATGAGGATTTGAAATTTGAACACAAAAGGAACACATTCAGGCTTTGATTAGTGACTCTTCAGTGAGGCAGCATGTGTATTCTCCAGAGATTAGTTCACAACCCTAAGGAATGCAGCCACCCTTGAGACAGTGCAGTGCTACAATAAAGAAAAAAGGTCAATCCATAATCCCTATAAGGATGTATATGTAAGTACACTCTGCATTGTTGAGTGACTATCACATCAGAGTTTCATGACATTTTTAATTCTAATTCTTAGTGTTGGAAATGTAAATGGAAGTTACAATATTAAATAAAATAAATCTATGCAAATAATAATGAAAGTAACTTTGTGAAATATGGTAAGGTATGTACAAATTTCTTAAACTCTATATTGTTAGATGTTGATATATTCTATATACTAAGCCAAAACAACTGTGTAGCAAGAGGAATAAAGCAAAGCTTGTAATTCGGTAAGCTTGTAAATTTTGAAGCCCTTTGGAAAGAAAGAATTCTGTGTTGTGTTATATGAAGCCCATGCAAATATATGTCAGTATACCAGTTTTATGGAGATGTTGAAGAATAAGCACACCTCCATATATTGTCACTCCCCAGTTGCAAAGAGGTTATAATTCTGATTATCAAAATAAAATAAGAGAATATTGCAGCTGTGAGACTATGATTGCAAATTATTTACACATTTGGGGCTGTATTGCAAAGACAAAAGGGAATTCTCCTGAATCTTCCAAATCATCTGTAAGGGTTTCTTACAGTAAATATAACTAGTGGCCCAGGAGCAAAAAGTTTGCTTGTTTCCAACAACAACAAAAAAAATGTCACCACAACTCGTCCTTTTTCCTGTAAGAAAATGTACAGGATATTGGGAAGAAATGTAGTATTATTCTCTTCATATATTACCTGAAGAATTCTAACAGAGAAAAAATGTTCCAGAAGATGGTGACTTGAGTAATTTTTGTTTCTTTCGTGTTCTGCTGTCTTGCTTTGAAATTTCTGACAGGTGATTTTTCATCATTTGTGTTAATGAGAGCAAGTGAAATTCACAGATAGTCTAAAAATAACATTTTAGCTATTCATTTCAGGCTTCCTATCATCAGAATCTTTTAGTTGCTAATAAGTCATAAAATTGGATGAATTAAGTTTCTGACCTACTACTCCTTTAACCTTGATTTCTCACTAATAGTTTATGGTGAGAAATGAATAAGCTATAGAGAGTTAACAGGAGTGAGAGAGACATCTGAGAGAATGACTGCTCCTTTTAGTGTGTGTTCAACCTTTAAGTAGATTTTGTCCAAATTATTGACCCCATAGTTACAGCTAAAACCATATTCACATTTTAATATTGTATCTTTCTGAAGTTGGATCAGAGATTTTCAAAGTTTTATACAGAGGTTTTAAGCTGATGTTCACAAGTTGTCTACGAACTTGCTTCATCTACAGCTTTTAGGAGATGAATGATCTGAATGATCAAGCCAGTGGGATATAGTATTATGACTATGACTTCTAGATTCTTCCAATGATAAAGAATGTAAGTCATCAGGAGGTTCAGGAGGTACTTTACAGAAAGTAGTGTTCCTCATACTGTGAACTGAGGACTGCCTACAACATAGTCACCTGTAGAGTGATTCCTTACTCTATTCCAGGAGATTCTGAATTCGTAGATTTGGTGTGATGTCCAGCAATATGCATTATTACAGACTTCTCAAATACTTCTTTATTTACTGTGGTTTAAGAACCCCTGCCATAATGGATTAATGCAGAGACTCCTCAAAGGCCTCATGTGTGCTTAGTGATAAACTCCAGTGTCAGGTGCAAAGTCAAAGAAAAATGAACTGCTGGAGCCAATGCCTCTTTCCAAGGTATTCTATGGATGAATAACTGTGTGAGATGTTAATATTTTCAGAAATAAGACTTCCATGATTAAATTTAGGAAATGCTGGGTTAAAGTTAAGTTAAATCCTTTGCTGGACAATTTTTTAGGAACTTAAAAAGGCTAACATGCAACTGGATTCTCCAAAGGAAGAATCCTTTATTCAGAGAACATCTCACAGACTAATTTTACATAAAGCACACTGCTGAACTAATACTACTGTAGAAATGTGGAAACTAAAAACCAGGTTGATGAAGAGACTGACCTCACTTCTTCAAGAGAATTACTGAGCAAGCATGAATCAGAGCTCTGATTCTTCACCACCACCTCATATCAGTGAAGACTTTTGGTTTCAAGTAAGAGTCAGACTGTAACTGTCATAAGTAAAAAAAGGAAACTATTGGAAGGAAATTGGGAGCTCACAGAATTAGCAGGAGGCTGAGAGACCAGGATTAAATAAGGCCAGAAACCAAGGAAGGCGTAAGCAGTAGCAGTAAGTCTCCAAAAAATAAGAATGCTCTCTAATCATCCTTTCATCTTTGGACCACTTGCTTAAGATTCAGAATCCTGGTTGAGAATATCTAATTTTCAGAACTTTCATCACATGCCAGTCCCCTGGCTTTCTGGGAGTGGAGAGAAGGAAGGAGGAGCTCTTCTTGCCTTTGGCTTCCTTAGTGGAAAATAAAATACTATTTCCCAACAAGATGACACAAAATTATCTTAGGTTGATGAAGGAAGCCCTGTAAAGTGACAGATGCTCATTACTCACATATCCTGAATTCCATGGACTACTGCTTTGCATTACAGTTGAATTTTAGGTAATGATGTAGCTTTAATTTAGCTACCCTACTCACTAACCAATGCTTTGGTTGGCAGTATTAGTTATTTTCATGGGTGCTTTTGAATGAAACATTTTATCTGTGCATAGTCAAATTCTAGCTTTCTGTTATCCTTCTAAATATAGCACGTAGCAAATTAATGCTTATTTAGCCTTTAACTCATTATCAGTATGATTATAGAGATGTGATGATGTTTAGATTAATTAGCTTAGTGAAATTTTTCATTGACAAAGTTTGTAGTAGACACTACTGTTGACATTCATGTGTCCCTCTGGGCATACCACTTCATTCCACCCAGGCAGAAGTGCGGGGAAATGAACACTTCTGGACACTGTCTCAAGCAAGGACTGACCTGATGGGAAGTGAGGTATGAATACCCCAGCTCCCTTGCTCCTTGAAAAGAATCACTTTGGGCCTTGTGTTCCATACTAGTGCTTCTCACACTATTTTTGGACCAGTTTTTCATTTTCAATCCATCATGGATTGGAAAAAAATAAAACGAATTATTAGAAAAATGGATGTTGGGGCTTCCCTGGTGGCACAGTGGTTAAGAATCCGCCTGCCAATGCAGGGGACACGGGTTCAAGCCGTGGTCCGGGAAGATCCCACATGCTGTGGAGCAACTAAGCCCACATGCCACAACTACTGAGCTTGTGTCCCACAACTACTGAAGCCCACATGCCTAGAGCCCATGCTCTGCAACAAGAGAAGCCACCACAATGAGAAGCCTGTGCACAACAATGAAGAGTAGCCCCCGCTCGCCGCAACTAGAGAAAGCCCACGCGTAGCAACAAAGACCCAATGTGGACAAAAATGAATGATAAAATAAATTTTAAAAAGAAAAAAAAGAAAAATGGAAGTTACAAAAATGTCAAGTTGTTATCGAAGTTTCTAAGTACTTACTTTTACTTTTTATATATTCTTTTTCCTGGATGCGTCTTAAACAGTTCAAGGACTGGTTCTGTCACACACTATATTTTGAGTAATACTGAGCACTGTTTCCCTAGGTTCCCTGTAGGAGTAAGCTGCAGTTGCCCACAGGGATAACTGTATTCAAACATCCTTCATTCACTGCCTTTCTCTCCTTCCTTTCTCCACTGTTCCCTGATACTTTCTTGTC